TTTGGGGTCCCCCCCCCCCCCCCCCCCCCCCCCCCCAAGCGTTCGCTCACTTGTGCACGGCGTCTCTGTCGTGGGGCTCCTTGGCGGGATCGAGGCCGAACAAGGTGCTGAAGAAGGCCTGCTCCCTGGCTACGGCAGGCATCATCTGATCCAGGCACTGCTTCAAAGCCGCCACCTTTTACGTGAAAAAAAAAAAAAAAAGTGAATCGTTTTCACCACCCAAAAAAAAAAACGTGTGCACGCAAAACACAGGGTGTGATCGACGACAGGGTGGCCGTGCCGGCAAAGGAGTTATCAGTATCATAGGTGCAGCAGGAGGAATGCAAAAAACTAAAACTAAAAGTAAATGATGTTTCCTCTCCAGAAGGTGCATGCACCTCGCGACAATCAAGCGTATTGGCCTATTCCCTGCTGCGTGTAATCTTTGGTCAGCCGGTTAGCGCGGACGGTAGCATTTCGAGGACAGAACACAACTACGTCCCACAGAATAGAGAGTGTGCGTCGATTCTTATAGAGTGTGCAGGCAGACATCCAATGAATGGACCGAGAAAACTAAACCGAATCCCCGAAGGGTCCGCCCGCAGTGGAAAACTACAAAAAAAGGCGTCCAGGCAATCGCCCAGCGCCAGTCCTCAGACAACAACTACAACAACCAAAACGACAGCAACAACAGCATAAGAGCAACGTCTAGGGTTCAGGTCTCAGGCTGCTGCTACTGCAAAAAACCGACTTTTTTGCACGTACGAGAAGGACCTAGTTCGGCCACAATTGTTGAAAATGCTTCCCCGCGATAAACGTAGCAACTCAGAGGGAGAGCTCGCCGACGGTTCTGGAAAGCAGACATGTGGACTGCTTGCATTACCAACCCGGACCCTCCTACAACGCCGTAGAAAGTCATTGGATACCAGCAGCGCTTGGAACACAGAGCATCGTGGCCGCAATCCAACAAGCGAGACAAACAATCACAATCCACCCCAAAGTGCCCGCGTTCCTGCCTGCTCCATAGAGCAAACTCACGGGGGTAAGCTGCACCGCCGAGATCGTGGGTCCCGGCGTGACCGGGGATGGTTCGGCACCGTCCCCCATCAAAGAACGCTCCATGGAAGCCAAACCCGGGCTGCTGTGGTGGAACACGATCCGTGGGATCAGGTCCGCGAAGTAGCTCTTGGTTCGAGACTGTTTTCGGTTGCAACAAAGGGGGTAACGCGGATGGCGGGGAGGACGGGGGGGGGGATCGCGGATGTATTGCAATAGTATCTTGCTGGTACTGGGTACCCCGTTCTGCAAAGAACATTCACAGGCAACGCTTGAGGTAAAGGTGCCTTCGTTGCTGCAAAAAAACGGGCAAGGAGGGTGGACAGCCTTCGATCAGAGTTGCTTGGGATGTCTGGTACCACCGATGCTCATATACGGGGCCCCTGGGTTATGTGGTGCCACGGGCCCCCCATAAGGGAACATGCTAGGTCGGTCACTCGTAAACCAAAACCCACTTTTGAATCATCATATTTTCTCCTTCAGCCCCTGACGAATCTACCGACGCAAATGAAAAAAAAGGTAAACGTGGAATCCCCCAATTGCGGAGACACCGGTAACATGTTTTCTGCATTCATCCCGACACAGGTCTGACCTGGTTTGTGGGGTCTACCGCAGCACCTTGCCAAACCCGGCGATTGGGTTTGACATCGGTGACCGCCCGAATCGGAGCTGTAAAGTCACATTAAGGGTAGCTAGCACTGCGGGTGACAGCAAACAACTTAAATGAGGCGTGAGAACAAACACAAAGCAGGCGTGCATCAGAACAGGTTTTCCTCAGAAAAAAAGCAGGAAAGCAACTACCAAAACACTCTGCTTTCGTCGATGAAAAAAAACGGGCAAATGCCGTAGGTTACACAAGATATCACACCCCCTAGATTGATTTCCAAAGCCCCATTTCTTCGCAGCAGAAGGAGTGGCGTTGCCGAAAATATCAGCGTTGGAGTTGTCTTCGTCTAGAGCTTTGCAAACACATTTCGTTTGGCTTACATACAGTGTGGGGGGGGCGGCTTATCTACCCCTACTGCCACGACGAAGTGTCGCCGCTATTCAGGGCAGGTCGCAAAACCGAATTATCAACTATATAGGAGCTGTACTACGGAGGTGTGGCGGGTGCGAGCTGATTCTGTGGTCGCTAAACAGGGCATGTCGCTATACATAGAGTCGCTAAACCGGGCCCGCTACTGTCTCGTCGTCGTGGAGCAGTCGAGCTCTGACAAGTGGTCCGGGGGGTGTGATATCTCGTGTCGCCTGCGGTGCTCTAGGCTGTTCGCACCTTGAGCAGCCCCTGGTTTAGGTCCTCCGCATAGGCCGCCTGCAGTTCGATGCTTCTCTGCCCGCTCTCGTCCAGCTTGCGCACCTTTTCGCGACACCGCCAAACAAAAAAAACGTTCCCGAGCACACGCTTGGTGAAGTAAGACACCACAAACCTCATCGTCGGCAGCTGATTGGACGGCTAAAAAAGACGACCTTCAACGACGGTTGCTCGGATCAGCAAACACGATCGCGCGGAAAGAGGGACCTCTCACGCAGACGCTTGACCGACCACGGACATAAAAAAAAAAGACCATCGAAGCCTGCACGTTCCGAGTCGATTCGTTCTGTACTACCCGAGAGGTGTCGATGACGCCATGACAATAAGCTGTAAGTGGTGCTTGATGCAGTACCGTTTACTACACCAGATAGCACACCTACAATAGCCAAACCCACCCCATACACGCAACGATGCTGGCCAGCTTCTGGCTCATCCTTATGAAACGTTAACGGTCTGGGCCCGCGAAAACCCGGCATATCGTCCCGGCATTGTAGGGATGCGAGGTCAATGGTCTAACACGTACGGCATGCGTTTACAGGAGTACACCCCCCATAAAAAATACTACAACCGGTGGAAATACTTAACACCCGTCAACATGAACCCAAAACATGAACCTACTTCTCAGGTCAAGCAATAGGGCAACGTAGTTTACACCTTATGGTACATGCCCCTTAAGTCACCCCCCGAAACTTTAACCACACCCGGTTCCGCCGCATCGACGTAATCGACGTAGACACACACTGCGTGTAGGGTTTAAGCGCTTAACACAAACAACTACCGTCGGTGGTATGACACAAGATGACACACCCCCTGGACCGATTTTCAAAGCACGACTTCTCCACGAAGAAGAGGGTGCCAAAACGAAATGATGCGCTTTCGGAAAGATGTCGACGATAAGGTTAAGGTAAGAAGGTTTCAACGACGACATCTTCGGCACCGCTGCTCGTTCTGCTGTGGAGTAATCGATGTTGAAAATCAGTCCGGGGGGTGCGGTGCCTTGCGTAATCTACGGTACCTGGGCGAAAATGAGCTCGTAGTCGATAAGATGCCCGTGGAACTGTCGCTGCGCCAGCATCAGCCGCTGGGTCGACGTGTCCGCGGCCCCGCTGTTCCTCCTGTCCCTGCTGGGAGGCCCGCTGACCGGGGGGGTAACCCCCCCCCCTCCTCCGCCAGCCCCCTCCTGCGAGGTCAGTCTCTTCAGCAGCCGCCGGCAGAAGCCCATGAGTTGCGAGCACGTGATCTGCCAGGGCAAAAGGCAAGAGGCACGACCCGATTGCACACAAAGTCGGACATCTCTCGAGCAGACCAGTGGCAGCTTAAGCGGAAACTATTTAACTCAGTTGGGGCGGTGGAGATATTTTGCGCGGATAGGGACCACCGTTAAGGGCAACAAGATAAACGCAAGGACCACCAGCCGATCGCACACGACATCGGACATCTCTCGGGCTGAACCGTGGCAGCTAAGCTGTAACAAACTCAGCTGGGGTGGTGGAAATGCGCGCAGATGGGGGTGGGTCACCGTTTCGATGTCAAGCCTGGAAACGCCGGCTTGTGCTGAAACCCCTCGCACGACCAAAAAAAAAAAAAAAACGGGGGTATGTCCAAATGAGAATCGACTCAAGCTATAGAGCCAGATAATGTTTGTTTGACGTGTGCAAATCTCGTTCAAGACGAATTAGGCAAGAAAGCCAGGAAAGACGCGACAGGTACGCTAGGTATTAGTTAGGGAAGAACAGCTGAAGATGTTATCATATCAGCAGGACAACCACAACCAACATACCACGCTCTGAATGTGCGAAAAAAATGAGAGGTGATGGAGGTCTCATCGACACCTCAAACATCAACACCAAAGGTAAACACCAGTAGCCTTCGCGAGGAAAATTGTCTTGGTTTTAGTATGGGGTACGAGGCGGGGTCGGGGGTTAGGGGCAGGCATAGGGATACGACCCTCCACCTCACGGCGCTTCGCGCTTGGTAATGTGAGAGCCCGGTCCGCTGAGAACCCGGCGTGCTCCGTCCCGGCTTTATGGGGATGCGAGGTCAATGGTCTAAGGACTACGGCATGCGCGACTATGAGTACACACACACAACTCCGTGTTTCGTAGATGAAGTAATGAAATCCTGAAATCACACACCTCCGCAAGCCCCATGAGCTTAGCGCGCTGGTCAGCCAGCAGCTGCAGGGAGGATGTCGACTCGTGGGCGGCGAGCTGCTCGATAGAGGCGAGAGCTGTAGAGAGGGACTCAGCTGCCGCAACGACCTGGAAAATCGAAAAAGTGGGAGGCGCGAGGGGGACAAAGTGGTTTTTCATTCTTGCCTAGATAAGGCGGAAAAACAGACAAGGTTGGATAGTTTGAACAACCGTCACACCTAACGAGATTTTTTTTCCCCGCCGCCCATGTTGGGCCCTCTTACCGCCATCGCCAGCGGTCAGAGAATCGTCAAGGACCTGCGGTAGCACTGCCGTACACAATACCGCTACAATAACTTAGACAACTTGGGTTAGTCCTAGATTGTAAACCGAAATCGTCTGAAGGTCATTTCACACAAGTAAACTCGTCTGAAACCATTTCAAAGAAGCAAGCTCGTTTTAAGGTTAACTTAAAGAAGCATCTTTGAACACGGTTTTATCTATTTCACAGCACTACAGAAGTATCACGCGGTACTGCTGTAGCATCAACCCCAAACCGTCTGAAGGCCAACAAAAAGAAGCACCGATCGAAGCCATGGTTAATCCAATTCACCGCGCTAGAATGCGGTAGCAACCGAAACGGCCTATTGAAAACCGTCTGATGGCCAATAAAAAAGAAGCACCGATCGAAGCCATGGTTAATCTAATGTACCGCGCTAGCACGCGGTAGCGTCCGAAACGGCACCTTTTCCACCGCTGGAGTCGGGTCCTCGTCGCTGGGGTTCAGAGCCGCGTCGAGGACGACCTGGGGGTTCCGCAGCATGGACTCGTTGCTGGGAGAGATGGAGATGGCCTCCACCAGGTGCTTGAGGTATTCGTGAAGGTTCTGTGGGCATCATGGCATCATGACACGGGGAGGGGAGACATGTGAGAGATTCTGTTGCTAGGATTTTAACAGAAAATATACATGCACAGTTGAAGGAGATGCGTTCAGGTCTTTACTGTGAGTGGGATAAAAAACGGTCGGGAACATATTGAGTCTGTTGAAGCCGAACACTGATGCCAGGGTTTGTAGAGAAGACAAACAGTAACTCTTGAAGGCGTTTCTCTATAACGCATTTATCTTCCTACCTACCGGCACCCGAAGAGAGGGGGACAACGCACACAATGCCTTCGATCCGGAGAGTAGCGTAGACTCCACCATGACGCTCGGTCACAGGGTCCCACACCGCGGACAACACCGTAGAAGAATGTTTGTTTTTTGTTCCGCCGCACTGAAACTGACGTCTTTTCATTGCTCAGCCGGTTAGCGCGGTCGATGCTAACAAGAAAGAAACACCCATCTTGTGCGAGTGGTTACACCCGCCCCATAGATAAAACCAATTTTCTACACAGTAGCTCGATTGCTCCACCGAGGGGGCGAGAAGACAGCTCGAATAGATAGGCCTGAAAAAAGAAAGCTCACGACGAGGCACGTCTCATTCAAAAACCACTCCTCTCCATCCTATCAGAGGTACCCTTCTCGGTTGTGGGTGGAGCAATCGAGCCCATGAAAGTCTGCCTGGGGGAGGGGGGTGCCATCACTCCAATACTGCGGCATCTCTGCCATGGTAATCGTGTAGTGTCACGGTATCTGTCATGGTGCGTTTGTACATGCTGCAGCCTACCTGGTATTTCGGTATCTGTCATGGAATATGTGAACTTTGCAGCCTGTCATGGTATCTGCCACGGTACTCGTGTACTTGCTGCAGCCTGTCATGGTATCCGTCATGGGTACGCGTGTACTTGCTGCAGCCACCTGGTAGTTCCTCCACTGGACGTCTAGCTTGTTGTTCTTCCTCTCGATCTCCGCCATGTCCACCTGCATCGCCTCGAGAGGCTTGCCGTGCTGCTCCAGCCACCCCTTTCCAAAGAAAAAAACGCAAAGAAAAAAAGAAGACGCAGGTGAAGCGAAAGTCTCGAGATGCGGTCGAACCTCTTCCCTTTCACAACACAAAAAAAAACGCCAAGAGCAAAGATTAACAAAAACGCGGGTGGATCACGAGCCCGGGAAACGAGAGAAGCGGTCAAACCACTTCCTTCTGAAAAAAAAAAAAAAAGCGCGGTAGATCCACAACAATGAGGCTGGGATATGCGGTCGACCCACTTCATTCAAATTTCTTGTACCAGCTTTCAAGGTAAAGCCCGAAATGACGTGCAAGTCTTTCTTCCTCATAGACTTCTGTTTTTTGTGACCCTTGCTGTACATATCAATGAACGTTTTCTCGAGTCGAAATCATTGTTCTCTCGCGTGTTGATTTGTACGTGCACACCGTTGTAGACTACACCGCTCATGGCACACGCGCGTACAGACCGGTCTCACAAAAACACACACACCACAACCAACCGTAACAATTTTCAACCGGGACAGAAAGCAAAGGAGACAGCCGTATCGTGACAACCTGTTCGAATGTGAGGGAAAACAGCAATACTTGCGACAGGAAAAAAAAAAAAAAGGTTACAATAGGCAACCAAAGAACGGTTTCATGTGTCCGTCATTTTGCACTGCAACGCCTGCGCTCTCTCTCTGTCGTTCCAGGCGGACAACAGCCACCACAACACACTCCGGACGAAACAAAACACGCAGCGACAGCGAGTATCGCGAGATTGTGCACCACTATTTGTCGGTGTGGTACGCTCCCAAGCCTGCCGCTGAAGCACAAAAACACACGCCTTCTACATACGATTTTCAACCACGTTCCGACGGCGACACCAAGCACAACCGAGACGGCCAAGTGCGCCTACCGAGCATGACGCTAGACACCACACCCCCTGGACCGATCTTCAAAGGCCAGTTACCCCGCGACGAAGAGGATTGTGCAAATGAAACGACACGTCAAAGGAAAGCTCTCTCCACGAGACGGCTCCAACGCCTCCCTCCATTTTCGGCACCACTCGTGGAGTAATCGAGCTTCGAAAATCGGTCCAGGCAGGAGTGTGATATCTTACGTCATGTCGCCTACGGTACCTACGCATACCTCCATGACTTGCAGCTGTTGGTCCACTTCGTCGAGCATGGAGATCAACGTCTCCGTCTCAGCGGTCTTCTCGGACCAAGCGATGAGCTGCGTTGCAATCATTGCCCACCAAAGGCGCGCGTGAAGGGTCACAGGGCACGGGGGGAGCCGCTATCAGAAACGGCAGTTCAAGTAGATTTTTTCAGACCAAGCGATAAGCTGTATTGCAATTGTTGCCGTGGACCGACCCCCACAAACGCACGAAATAACAAAGGACACAAGCAAGCGCTATCAGACACGGCAGTTTAAGCCAAAAGGCAAGCGCTATCAAACACGCAGTTGAAGCCAAACGGCGAGAGCAGCCATCGACAGTTTCCAGGTACAGAGATGGGCTGCGGAAAGAGAGGAAACAGGATCCACGCGAAACCACGCAAGTATGCGTTCATGTGCAGCAGATAGTGAAACATGTTTGCTGTTTTCTGACATCGGTGCTTACCATCGGACGCGCCGACCTAATGGGCTAGCCAATGACATGCGTCAGCCTCAGCTCAGCACGGCTGAATACGAAAAAAAAATCCTTAGTCCATGCATGACCTGGAGTCCCGAAAGGAGAAACCTAGACCATTCCCCGTTTAAGTAAACCGTGTGGCTTTGACTAGAATCTGCCACGCCATCTGGTTGACCAATGAAAACGCGTCAGTCCTCAAAAGAACTCGAGCACGCCTTCTAGAGTGTGTGTGTCGCCCCACATATCCAAGACGTCAGGTGCTACAGCACCATGTTAACTTTTTCTTTTTCTGGACGCATCAGCCAGGGTGCTGTATGTGAGCGCTTACAAAAGCGATTGTTATTGTTGTCTTGACATTAGTAACCGTTTCGGTCTCCACGCAGTACCCTCTAATGTCCGTATAGTACTGGTCCAACTGACGCACACACCTTCCGTGGTCACAAGCCAACTATCCCAAAAAAGGTGGCATGAGAACAAGAAAATAATCAGCCAGGGTCACGCAGGCCAACGAGGCAGCAACAACAGCAGAACAACAGATGGCATTGATGGCGCGGGTGTCGCTCGCATGCATGTTGCCCGCCCAACCTGGTGTATTGTACTCCCTTCCAAGCCCTCCAGCTCGTCCGAGAGCTCCTCCAACAGGCCCTCCCGCCCCTTCTCCAGCCACTTCAACCGCCCCAGCACCGCCTCCCCCTGCTCGAACTCCTCGTAGTCCCACTTCGGGCCCTGCTCTCCCATCAGACGACCAATCACAACGGCAACGACAGCAGCAACAGCAACCCCATCAGCAACATCATCAGCAAGAACAGCAGCAGCAACAGCAGCAGCAACAGCAGCAGCAGCAACAACAGCAGCAACACCAACACCATCAGCAGCAACACCAACACCAACAGCAGCAACACCAACACCAACAGTAGCAACACCAACACCAACAGCAGCAGCAGCAGCCGCAGCGGTTAGGTCGAACATGGGTAGGTAACGGATACCGATTGCAGCTGCTTACGCTGCACAAAAAAACGTGGTGGAAAAAATCGCAAAAAGCAGAAGTTGTCTCTGCAAGTTCCCTCCCCACCTTGAATCGCCTTTTTTCGATCACAAGAGGTGACAAAGGCTCCACCAATGCGGCGAGAGAGACAGCCAACAAAAATAGGAGCCACGCGGATTCGTGGGACACAACGCTCGCCTATGTACACCCCCCCCCGTCCACTCCATCCTACATGATCACCCCCCTCTCCCCACCCACTCCCTGCATGAACATCCCCCCCATACACGCACTTCACGCTTGGTGATGTGAGAGCCTGGCCCGGTGACAACCCGGCGTGCTCCGCCGCGGCTTTGCAGGGATGCAAGGTCAACGGCCTAACGACTACCTCATGCACGGCTATGACTATCCTCCCCCACACACACACATCCTCCTTCCCACCTTCGAAGAACGCCGGGCCTTCTCCACACTCGACCTCGACAAGTCGCTCCCCCGCCTACCGGTGCCGGAAGGCCGCCTTCCATGGCCGCCCCCGCCCCCGTCCAGCCCCCCCCCTAGGACATTGGCTGCGGAGCCCCCATCCCCTCGGTTACGGCTGCGCTCGTCCGCTCGCATTTGTCTGGCCAGCTTTGGGACGAGTGGGTGCTTAGTGGCCAAGCCGTGGTACACCGCGGTCGCGTCTAACTCCTGTTGTGGGGGGGGGGTTAGGGGGCGCCGTGAGGTATGTGGGAGAGACATTAAAGATTCAGTTTTATTGTGCCGAATACCAGCGCATGTTTTCGTGGTCATTGTGGTGGTTTCTTGTTGTTGCCGTCTTGTCCTCGGGAATCGTTGTCTGGCCCACATATTCCACAGCGGCGCCGCTGGTACATGTACCACTGCACTCGTTCCGTGGTACGGTATACCATGGAATAGCATGTGTAATCGTGCCATTCATTATCGCTGGAAGACCCTGTCTACGGCACAAAGGCCTTGCTCCTTTCGAATGGAGAGCATCGAATAGCGGGCCACGCGGACGAAATCCTCATACCACCAAAATGGGGGTCACACACCTCCTTCCCTGAAGTTATCCATACACTCCGCGAGTTTCCCGTTTCCTACACTGCGGAATATGCGTAAAAACCACAAAGACAACAACAGCAACCCCTGCTCTATAAACTACTTCTTAGGAGCTGTCTCTTCCCTGTTGCGCGACCGCATCATCACCTTCAGGCTGACGTTGACGGGCTCGAGCTCGTCGCCCTCCTGCATGGCCCTGTTGAGCGTGAGCAGGCCCCAAAGGATCTCGTCGCACGCCGCCGCGTTAACGCCTTCCCAGGTGTAGCTGGACTCTTGACCGACAGCCGTCGGGGACGAGCTACATTATTATTTTTGTTACAAAACATGTGTCGTTGCGGTTAGCAAAAAAACAAAAACGACGAGCGGGACGACGGGATAAAAATGAATACGACAATAGTTACTTCCTTATGGGCTACAAAAGTGTAAGGACGAATGGGACGAAGGGGATAATTAAACTGATTGAGGTACGGTTTTCTCGGGGTCTTGGCTAGGATTCAATCGACAACAATTCTCTCCCCACTTTGTTGTCATTGCATCGCCACCATCATCGTCACCACCGACACCGACAACGAACAACAGCAACAGAAACAGAAACAGAAACAGAAACAGTAAAAAAAGCAACAGCAACAACAGCATCAACAACAGCATCAACAACAGCAACAGCAGCAGTAACGACAGCAACAGCAGCATCAACAAGAGCAACAGCAACAACATCACCACCACAAACGGAAGCACTTTGCGGCATACCTTCGGCCTGTCTCGAAGGTGAGGGTAAACGCCGCTCCCTCCGTCTCCCGGGTCCCATCTCTCTTCTCAACACCAGAAAGCCCCTTAATGTTCCACCCACGGTTCGTCACGACTGGAACAACAGCAAGAGCAACAGGGTCAAAGTTCACGTCGCCAAACAGAAGCACTATTCGCGAGAGAACAAACAAACACGCGTGACTTGAGAACAGTCGCGACTTGCATGACAATTGCGCTTGAGAGCTGCTGAGGACTTGGTGACGACAGGAATAGGGGCAACAGCACACCTTGCCGAACAGAAGCACCGTTGCCAGGAGACAAACAATGTGCCTTTTAGCAAAAAACTAAATTTATTTTCCAGGCCAGCTCGACGTAAACTGCCCGCCAGAGCTGGTGATTATACAAAAAATAAAAAATTCTCCGCAAACCAAAACGCGGGGTCAATAGGAACCTGTCAGTAAGCAACAGTAGTCAGTCCGTCGGAATCAATACCATTACTCCGCCGATTTCGGATGATTCGATGGGTACATTCTCTTCTGTTCCGTTTTTTTCAAAGCCCCTCTCAGTAGACCCGGAAGCCGGAATTAAAGCTGACTCGCTAGGTCACACGTACGTATGCTCGCACAATCGAAACCCAACAACCGCACACGCTTCTCTACACTTGGTGGCCTGAGCCTGCGTTTCAAGGTAAGCAGGTGTCAGTCCTCAGGACAAGGGGTGGGGTAAGGGCAAGCCACCTGACCTGTCTTCTCCGCGAACTCACGGCCTTCTGGGCCCGGGTGCACGGTGATGTCTCTCACGGAGCCTGACCAATAGGAGCCCGCCGAGCTGGTCCTGTCTTCCATCTGTTTCCATCATATACATCGACACAAGAAGCAGAAAATGAAAATACACAATACAACGGTCAGCCGGTTAGCGCCGTCGATGCACAAAAAAAATACAATAATGAAAAAGAGCCTGGACAATACAGGAATACACCGAGCTGATGCTGTTCAATCTGATCCCATTATCGCATAACAGAATGAGAGCATATCCACAAAACACCACGGAATTCGTGCGAGTCTGTTGGACCAGTGCGGATGCAGGACCGGTTGTCCGTGTGTGTACACGTCGTTTGAGTAGCACAACGGAGTAAGTAAAATCGTCAAACGGCTGCAGCAAAACGACAGCAGCGTGCCTGCCTATCCCTTGGTACTTACCACTATGCAGACAGAGTGCACCCTTGATCGGCTGGCTCTGGGCTTGTCTCGTCCATTGGATCCCGTCGGGATGGAAGCCCCCTTGGAGGAGGGGATCAGCACACGTCCCATTAGCACCACCCTGCAAAGACAGAAAAGCGCAGCGAGTAGTGTGCCTCGTGTGTTGCTGGCCCGCTTTGACAAGCGGTTGGACGTGAACCTATGGCGTGCGAAAGGAGTTGGTTGACTGCCGGCTTGCTTTGATGTATTGCGCTCATCAAGCACGCACCGTAGTCCAAGTTGGCTTGGTTCCGGCCACTGCTGAGTCGACATCCCCTAACTCCTTCACCTTCCTCAAATTATGTGCGCCCCCACCCATCTGAGTGATCTACTTCTCCACCCCTGACTTTGGATGTTTTGGTCACACGGCATGTACACTCTGCAACCGCTGCGCATGCGCGGGCCTCTATTGCCTCCGATCGTCTTCAATACGTTCGCTGGCGTTGGCGTGGTGCTGATAACATTCCCCCCACCCACCCACCGATCTAATGCCCGAGCCAACTTTGACA